AATTGGAGAAAGTGAAAACTATATAAGAATTGTTTATATCATTACATTCTTAATAGTATCAGTAGATTAATTAAATGACTTAAAAAGTGCATTTCCAGTTTTTTGACACTGATGGGAGAAAAGAATGCTTTTTCTGAGATAATGTCTGATAGCGTGTTTAAAGTCTAGATAAAAAATGTGTAAGTCTTATTTTGGGTATAACAACATTTTTTGTGAAAGGTTGGGTAAACTGTTCACTTGACAGGAAGGAAAATGAGAGCAGTAACATCTAATTTTATATGTTGGTTTTATTTTATATCTAAAAATAGATGTAACAACATCAGAATAATAGATTGCTTTTTTTCTTTGAACTTTTAGATTCTGGGGTTCATTTAAAATGATCCTAATAATGGGGAAATGTTTGTCAAAGAAATAATGTAGTACCACTGCATTTTTAAGCAAAGTCGGAATTGACTCTGGCATCTGGTTTTTAGTTTGTGTTTAAAAACCATTATTTGTGGCAGTAATGGAACATAATGTGGCAGTGATTAGCTATCTTCCCACACAAAATTTGGGTTAGATTAAATTAATAAGAACATTCCTGAAGCATTGATTGGAAATTTGGAATCACGGAAAATGCTCAGTCATTTGACGTTTATTCTGATCTATGACACTTTTTAGATTATTTTCATCTAAGTCACACAGACAAGAAAGAAGTAAAATATTTTATGCAAAATCAAGATGTAACAGGGATTGTCTATAGGAGGCTTAGGCCTTTGTTAACAAAATAAAACTCATGCTAATGGCATACTTTGCCCAATGCAAAGTTCGAACATAAAGGGGAAAATGGATAATTTATGACTTATCTAAAATATTAAAAATTTCAAAATTTGTCTTAACAAAGGAAAGGACCCATTTGCTGAGTGTTGATTTAAAACATATCCACATCTTCCTTTAGCCCCAGTATCTATTATCAGAATCCTTAGTTTTATAGCTTATATGATCTGTTTACTCCCTTTGGCATATTTTATGAGCTAAAAGGGTCAATCTGTAATGCATAACATTAAATTTGTGGGTATAATGTCTGAAATGCACATTTTAAGCACATCATGTTTTTTGCTGCCTTAATAAGGAAATTTAACATTGATTGTGCTCAGGTTGCCTAATGAAAGACGTTTTTGAATACTTCAAAAAAAATTTAAAACTTGACTGATAAAAGGAAGTTCAGTATATAAGTTGTAATATTTTACTCTTCTTACACCACAAGTGTATTTTAGACTTGTGGAATCTCTGAATGGTAAGAGATTTCAGTAGTCACCAATCCAGTTCTGTTCAATGAAGGCATTTTGTCTAGTCCAAGTAAGCTAAATAGTAATTGTCACTTTTTTACATATTTTTAGCTTAGGTCAGTTATTCTAAAGTCTTTGTAATCCAGTCCTTCAAAATGCTTCCATATATACATCACTTCTTTGCCAAAACGAAGAACTTATACCATCAGTTCATCTGGCAAATGTTCCAATCTAAGATTCAGCAGAATATAAAGGAATCCTAAGAAATAAACAAGATGAAGAAAGTTCTATCAATTATTTAACATTTCCAGTTAAGATGGAACTGGGGAGTCGTTTTCCTAATGTTGTGTGCCTTCAAGCTGAATCTGACTCAGTGACCCTATAAACAGAATAGAACTGCCCCATAGGGTTTCCTAGGCTGTAATCTTTATGGGAGCAAATTGGCAGGTCTCTTCTCCCGTGGAATTGCTTATTTTCATAAAATACAGCTGTTTCAGCAAGGTGTTTGGTGTATTTTGGCTCCATTTTCCTTAGAACCTCTGAGTCAAATTTTACTAGATTCAGTGCCATTAGAGTAGAAATTTCTTGTTAACTAAAATATTTTTAAAATATAAACTAATGGCCTACTGTATATTATTTAGTTCAACAGAATTCCAAATCCTGGCAATTTATCTTAATATTTCATCTATATTTTAACTAAATACCCACAGATATGAGGCTTTCCCAAAGGCAATATCCTAATTTAGTTTCTTATCTGATGTTACTGATTTTCTAATCAGCTCCCTTCCGTATTTCTTGTAATTTTGGTTTGCTTTTTGCAAATTCCCTAAACTTCTGTTTATCTGGAAATGCCCTAATTTCGCCATCATATTTGAGAGACAGTTTTGCTGGATATATAATTCTTGGCTGGCAATTTTTTTCCTTCAAGGCTTATATATGTCATCCCATTGCCTTCTTGCCTGCATGGTTTCTGCTGAGTAGTCTGAGCTTATTCTTATTGACTCTCTTTTGCGGATGACTTTTTGTTTATCTCTAGCAACTCTTAAAATTCTCTTTTATCTTTGGTTTTGGCAAGTTTGATTATAATATGTCTTGGTGATTTTCTTTTGGGAGCTACCTTATGTGGGGTTCGATGAGCATCTTGGATGGATATCTTGTCATCTTTTACGATATCAGGGAAGTTTTCTGCCAACAAATCCAACAATTCTCTCTGTATTTTCTGTTATCCCCACCCGTACTGGTACTCCAGTCACTCGTAGGTTATTCCTCTTGATAAGAGTCCCACATAATTCTTAGGGTTTCTTCATTTTTTTAAATCCTTTTATCTGATTTTTCCTCAAATAAGTTGGTATCAAGTGCTTTATCTTCAGTCTCACTAATTCTGACTTCCATTGCCTCAGTTCTGCCCCTATGACTTTCTATTGAGTTGTCTAATTCTGAAATTTTATTGTTAATCTTCTGGATTTCTGATTGCTGTCTCTTTATGGATTCTTGCAGCATGTTAAATTTTTTAATTTTCTCTATTGCATGTTCTGCATTTTGCTTAATTTCCTTCCTAATTTCTTAAAGAGCTCTGTATATTAATCTTTTGTATTCTGCCTCCAGTAATTCCAAGAAATTTTCCTTCTCTGGAATATTTCTAGATTCTTTATTTTGGGGGCTTGCTGAAGCCATCATGGATTGCCTCTTTATGTGATTTGATATTGACTCGTCTCTGAGCCATCAATGAGTTATTGTATTTATTTATTTTATGTTTGCTTATTGTGTCCTAACTTCTTGTTTTGATATGCCCAAATAGGCTGTTCGTATTAGCTAGTTTGATTATTGGCACCTTTGAAGCTCTAGTATCGTGTCACCAGGTGGTTAGATTTGTTACTAGGTATGTGAGCTCAGGAGTCCGCCCACTCTTTCTGTATGGATTCAGCTCAGGTGCCCAGGTAGATAGCCACCAAGTGTGTGGTGTCGGCTCTCACTTACAGTCCTAGTCAGGCATGGGTGATTGGTGTAGGCACAGGCATCTGGCCGCAGCAGGGGGACACACTCTGAGCAAGGCAGGGGGCTGATGGCCACCCTCAGGTGTCCAGGAGGAAGGCGTGTCCCTGTTCCCCAGAGCGTGTAGATGGGTGGATTTTGCAGCCAGACTATGAGCACCTAATGCTGTTGACTGTAAGGACTGGGGGCACCTCTTATTCGTGGGCCCCTATCGCAGGCAGCTAGTGGCATGGGTGGAGCCACCACTCCTCAGGCCCCTGATGTGGGTAGGTGAAGACCCTGCTTAATGGGCAGAGCAGTGTCAAATGTCAAGAACCTACCACTTTACAGCTGAAACAGTTGAAGTTAGAGTTCTGATATATACCCTGTTGTACTGTGGTAATGAGGGCCTACGCTGTTGAGATAGGCCCACACAAGTCTATGCAGGGGGAAAGGCACTCAAAGTCCGTGGATCCTTTATGCCTGTACCTAGGCAAAAGAGCTGTGCCTACCCTGGGTTCCTGGCTTAGGGGAACCAGTAGTTTATTTTTTCCCGTTTGTTAATTTGTTCACTCTCCAAGACAGGGAGAATGGCTCCGGGCATGTGATGGACTCTACTCCCAGCCCAGGGGACTCAGCAATTGCTGAAGCAGGTCCGGGACCCAGTGCAGAGCAGGGAGCGGGGAGGTAAATGGGAGAGAGGTTTTTCCCTAAGAGGGTGTTTTTGATCCGCACGATAAGCCGAATGCAAGTGCTTTCGTGGAGGGCTGCTTCTCATTGGTTCTGGGTGGCCACGTAGAGCCTCTGGTGCTGGGTCTCCCCCCATGTGGAAAACGTGCCGTCCGCACACAGCTGCTTTCCTGCCTCACTGCTCCACCCCCGAGCTGCCCAGGCCTGAAGGGCTCAGGCTCTTGTTGGGGTCAGGTCTGGCAACTCCTTGCTGCTTCAGAACCATCTCTCCCTCCCCCTACCACTCAGTCTGGTTCCTCAACTCTGCCTTTGATATTCAGGGCTCCCAGATTGCCATATATAATCGAATCACTTGTTTTTTTGGGTCTTTGTTGTAAGAGGGTCCACCGGAAGCGTCTGACTACTCTGCCATCTTGGCCCCGCCTCCTAATTTGAGTTTCTTGAAATCTTACTAAGGCTATGATGGCTGCCCAGCTTGTGAAGTAACAGATGATAAAAATACACAGCCAGGAAACATCATTTGGTGATGGGGGCTTCAGCAAAATATTACAGGATTTTTTTTGAGTGTTAAGGGTCACATTGTTTGGCCTCCCCCAGCACTGTCGTTTGTGTAGTCCCTGAAGTCCAGTGGTCTCAAACCATTACAATTTGAACTTCATACCTGAAAAAGATAATCTGATCTCAGCTTAGGTTGAAAATATTTCTAGTTTTTACTAAAATACAGGTTGATTGTATCAGTTGTCATTTAGAGTAACTGAAGGGAGGTAGAAGGAGCATTTAAATCTACCATGTTGCTAATTTCCTTTGAATCACAGCAAAGACAAGAAATTAGGAAAGCATCTCTTACCCAATAGACAAAGGATGGGCAGGTCCCTGAATATCCAGGATTATCTTGGCAAAGCAGTGAATGCTTGAGTATGATTGAGGAAAGGTAATCTAGTGCTAAAGTTGGTCAGAGAATTTCTTGCATGAAACTGTGTGCTGAGAATGCTGGAAAATTTGACTCCTGAGGAATGTATAGACTGGCATTTGTTGCCTTTTTTCATTTTCCCTTGTGCCTTTCACTCCTAGATCTACGGAATCCAGAGGCAGCACTGTCCCCAACCTTCCGTAGTGATAGCCCAGTGCCTACTGTACCCACCTCTGGTGGCCTTAAGCCCAGTACAGCTTCAGCAGTTCCTGAACTAGCTACAGACCCCGAGTTAGAGAAGAAGTTGCTACACCACCTCTCTGATCTGGCCCTAACATTACCCACTGATGCCATGTCCATCCGTCTCGCCATCTCCACGGTAATGACCTTATACACAGGGTTGGGGTCTACCACTTCTTCAGTTCATGGTCAGTGTCTTATTGCCATCCCCTTCTTCCCCAGCCAGATGCCCCTGCCACTCAAGATGGGGTGGAAAGCCTTCTACAGAAGTTTGCAGCTCAGGAGTTGATTGAGGTAAAGCGAGGCCTCCTGCAAGATGAGGCACATCCCACTCTTGTGACCTATGCTGACCATTCCAAGCTCTCTGCCATGATGGGCGCTGTGGCAGAAAAAAAGGGCCCTGGGGAGGTAGCAGGGACCATCTCAGGACAGAAGCGACGTGCAGAACAGGACTCAACTACAGTAGCTGCCTTTGCCAGTTCTTTGGCCTCTGGTTTGGCCTCTTCAGTATCAGAACCAACCAAGGAGCCAGCCAAGAAATCAAGGAAACATGCTGCCTCAGATGTTGATCTGGAGATAGAAAGCCTTCTGAACCAACAGTCCACTAAGGAACAACAGAGCAAGAAGGTAGGTGTCAGAATGGAAATACTTTCACGCATACGCTCTGAATCATAGCTTTGAGAGGGATTTACCTCTAGGGAAAGAGCAGTTCTTAGAATTGAGAGTTTAAAGCAATGGGTAGAATGATTTTGCCCCACCAAGGGGCATTTGGCAATATCTAGAAACATTTTTGGTTATCACAACTCAAGGGATGGCTACTGGCATCTAGTGGATAGAGGCCAGATATGCTGCTAAACATCCTACAGTACACAAGACAGCCCCCCACAAAAGAATTACGCAGCCCAAAATGTCAGTAATGCCAAAATTGAGAAGTCCAGGTTTAGAGAATCTTAGCCATTGAATCTGTTCAAGAGAATCCTCGGATCAAGACAAGAGGAACTCAAATACAGAAATATAGGGAGATAAGTACTGGAAGATAGTCATGGACCAATAATTATGGAAACTGATGATTAAATGATGTGATTTGGCACTGTAATGATTCTGAGTATAGATATTGGACAGGCATGAGTTCTTATTCCATCTGCTACTTCTAGCTGTGAACTTAATTTCTCCTGAGCCTTAGTCTTCTCATTTGTAAAATGAGGATAACCAGGATACCTTTCTTTATAGAATTGTTACAGGGTCAGTTAAACAGTAAAATGTTTAGCACCTGGGCTCAGTACCCAATAAGTATAAGTGATTTTTATGGGAAGGAATGCTTTCCTGGAAGGGGGAGGTTAATGCTTAGCAGTAGGAACTAGGCCTCTTATATTTTAATTCTATCCCAAATGTGAGGAGGGGCTGAACCCTGACAAAATCTTTTCTCATAGGGCTCCCGTTTTCCCATATTAAATTAGTTCATTCACCCTTCAGAGGACATTAATGTCAAGTAGTGTGCAGAGGTGGTTTTAAGAACTGGTTTGATCTACACATACTTTTAAGTCCAAGGCTGCTTTTGTTACAGGTCAGTCAGGAGATCTTAGAGCTATTAAATACTACAACAGCCAAGGAACAATCCATTGTTGAAAAGTTTCGCTCTCGAGGCCGGGCCCAAGTGCAAGAATTCTGTGACTACGGAACCAAGGAGGAGTGCATGAAAGCCAGTGATGCTGACCGGCCCTGTCGCAAGCTGCACTTCAGGTCTCTTGGGAGGGAAAGAGGTGGGATCCGTCTCCTAGAAGAAGTTGTTCCTGTTCATCACACTCCTTGCAGAGTCTTTTGGGGTTCTGTCTCTAATCTGATTAGTTTTTGGTTTGTCTAAGCCCTCCAGACTTAGAGGTATACTTCAGAAGTGGTATTCTGTGGACGGGAATAGAGACTTCCTCCCCAATAGATGTGAGATTTTTAAATGTCCTGCCAGAATGTCCTTTCCTCTTGCTGTAGCAATGCATCACTGTCTGAGCCTTAGCGAAATTTAAAGTTCTCTGGAAGGAGTATGATTTTAGGAGAAATAGAACCCAGACTCTTGGGTCACAGTATTTTACTCTGCTCTAACCAGCAAGTTCTTTCTTCCTGTTACTGCTTTCTTTCCTGTCTTAAGATAAGGAAGCTAAGTCTTTGCTCAGAGAGGAATTACAGTCTTCTTTAATGTGAATTATGCATTTCTATGTCACCTGCCTCCCTTCTGTTAAAACTCTTGGAAGCTCTGATAGAGAAAATTAGGAGGGAGAAGTGGGGGAAAAGACAGGAAATTTTTAAACAATTTGGAACTTGAACTGTATGGCCTAATTCTGGAACACTATTTTGCTTCTGATTCTTGCTTTTTATTTCCCCAGACGAATCATCAATAAACACACTGATGAGTCTTTAGGTGACTGCTCTTTCCTTAACACATGTTTCCACATGGATACCTGCAAGTATGTTCACTATGAAATTGATGCCTGCATGGATTCTGAGGCTCCTGGCAGCAAAGACCATACACCAAGCCAGGAGCTTGCTCTTACACAGAGTGTTGGAGGTGACTCCAGTGCAGACCGGCTCTTCCCACCTCAGGTACTTGTCTGCTCAGAAAACTCACCTCAGCTTATGGACTTAAGTCCGAGTAGTACAGCCATATATGTAGGAAAGCAGGACATAATTCGACAATCTGTCTTGCTGATGGGAATAGAGTGGGATAGATATGTTTATAAGGGAGTAGGAAAACCAGTGGAAAAAAGGGTCTGGGGCCATGAATCTGAGAGTGAAGAAAGGGAAGATGACCAAATACCACCTCATGCAGTGGATCTGTTGTGATATCCGCTACCTGGACGTCAGTATCTTGGGCAAGTTTGCAGTTGTGATGGCTGACCCACCCTGGGATATTCACATGGAGCTGCCCTATGGGACCCTGACAGATGATGAGATGCGCAGGCTCAACATACCAGTACTGCAGGATGATGGCTTTCTCTTCCTCTGGGTCACAGGCAGGTAATGCAGTTCAAAGATACACAGTTACGGGCAGATATAGTCCAGAGTGAGTACTGGGTGGGAGATAAAATCCTGGGTTTTCCTAGCCTTGCTATTAGGTGTATGACTGATTCAGCCTTTTTTTGCCTACTGAGACCTAATGTCTATTTATAACACAAACGATGCCTTCAATTATATTTAACTCTACATTTATTCCTTGAGAAAGGTAAGGTCATTGAGAATAGGTACACTGTTTTATTTTTTATTCTTAGATCTACCCTGTTTCCCTAATGGTATCTTTGCATGTAAAAATTCATTGAATGTCTACTGAAAAAAAATTTCTAATATTTACAACATTTATCAAATATTTTGGAGGGAGAAAAAATAATGGGTATGAAAGTAGCTATTAACCCTTATTTCTTTCTAGGGCCATGGAGTTGGGCAGAGAATGCCTGAACCTCTGGGGGTTAGTAATCATTTTGTTGCTTTCTTTTTAGAGAAATACATACATACTGCTGTAGTTACTGGATGTGTTCCCTTCTCCCAGAGCACTGTTCCCTGTAATTCTTTGCCTCTATAGATGATATTGCCCCTAAACCATGAAAGCCTAGTTAAAGCTCTAGTTTTCTTTTGTATGCCCCACAGTTATGAACGGGTAGATGAAATTATCTGGGTGAAGACAAATCAACTGCAACGCATCATTCGGACAGGCCGTACAGGTCACTGGTTGAACCATGGGAAGGAACACTGCTTGGTGAGCAGCAGTGGGGCCCAATTCAATAGGTGGAGCATAAAGAACAACTGTTTGCTTTCTTATTGAGAAAAAGTTCAAAAACTGGGGTTTCATAAGGTAATCTGTTCTCTGTGGTGAGCAGGTTGGTGTCAAAGGAAATCCCCAAGGCTTCAACCAGGGTCTGGACTGTGATGTGATTGTGGCTGAGGTATGTTTCCCCAGGCACCCAAAGCTTCTACACATTTTATCATATCAGTTACCCAAGTCAGGTGTATTCTTTATTCTGAGCTCTCTCATTTGGATCATAAATATAATGGGAAGGGCTAGAATTGCAATCTTGGGTAACTTAAAAGTAGCTAGAGCCTTTATTTTCTAGGTACGTTCCACCAGTCATAAACCAGATGAAATCTATGGCATGATCGAGAGACTGTCCCCTGGCACTCGCAAAATTGAGTTATTCGGACGACCACACAATGTGCAGCCCAACTGGTAAGGTGACCAGAGAACAGGTTAGCCCCATTAGTAGAGCTACACCTCACATTCCACTAGTCCATACATGGGCTTCAGAGGATTTATAAACTATCTAAACTTGTGTTTAAACTGTTTTACAGTTTTTTACCATTCAACAGAAACCCAAAAGGTTGTAGGACCCAAACCATACTCTCTAGGGTCGCCAATCTCTTAGAACCTAAGTCCTCAGTTATTCTGTGGGATGTGTTGGATGATTCACTAATCTGCCCCCAGGTGGTTACTAAGAATCTATTTGATCTGTCAACAATTGCCAACATACCAGTACTTTGACCCCTTTAATAGAATTTAAAAGATATGCTGCTAGCGTTTTACTTGTCCAGAAATACGCAGTGGCAGTAGCAACTTTGTGAAGTAGGCCTGGCTAGTCATCAGTTATTAACCCCTAGGTAATACAGATCCAGCCTGTTTTAACACCAGACTGCCCAATTCCTAACCGGTCATGCTATCATATACTGTTCTAATGTTAAAAGAATGGTATGAATATTTGATGAGATGATGGGCAGTCTTGGCAAAAGATACACATCTAACAATATTAAGCCCTTTAATTCTAGGATTTCTGTTTTCCCTTTTCTCCCCCTTGTTTCAGGATCACCCTTGGGAACCAACTGGATGGGATCCACCTACTAGACCCAGATGTAGTTGCCCGGTTCAAGCAAAGGTATCCAGATGGTATCATCTCTAAACCTAAGAATTTATAGAAGCACTTCCTTACAGAGATAAGGATCCACAGCCATGGCTCTGCAGGCTACACCTGAAGAGTAATATCATTGTACAATAGCTTCTTTCCTTATTTAAATAAAAGTTTGTATTGTAGTTGGGATTTCAGGGTTAAATCCTGGCTCTGTCACTTAATAGTATGTGATCTTGTACAATTGATCTCTCAGTATGTATAACTCCTTACATGTAAAATGGGAATATTACCAACCTCAACCTTGGGTGGTTTTAAGGGTCCAAATTAAATGGATTAAATGAATGCATGTAAAATATTCAAATGTTATTATTATAAAACAGGACTGTATGGAATCAAAGTGAATAGCAATTATTACTATGTGAACATGGTAGTTAAGAAGGGGGTTCTCCAGCATAGCATTTCTCAAGGTAAAATCTGAGTTTCACTTAAGTTAGCACAGAAACCCTGGTGGCATAGTGATTAAGAGCTGCGGCTGCTAACTAAACGGTCGGCAGTTTGAATCCACCAGGCGCTCCTTGGAAACCCTGTGGGGCGGTCTACTGTCCTTTAGGGTCACTATGAGTCAGAATCAACTTGACGGGAGCGGGTTTGGTTTTGGGTTATCACTGTTAGGGCTATAATGCTGTAAACGTCTGCTTATTTTGTTACAACTATGTGACCTCTGTTAGTCTTAATTTTTAGCTTATTTCCCAGGAAAATTAAATAAGCACATCTTTTCAGATTAAATAACTACCTAGGGTATATAGAGCATTAGCCTATATATTATGTAAGTGAAGACACCTCTGGCCTGTCTTTAAAAGATATTTCATCAAATACAAGTGAACGCAACTTCTTTAGACTTTGGTGAAACCTCTTATATTAATTTAAGGATGTAGGTTCTGCCTCTTACACACATAAGCTGTGAGAACTCAGATAAGACTACATAAACAATATTATTTGTAAGGAAACTCCTAGGTGGTGTTATTTCCCCTATAGCTCAGTGTGCCTGGTATGTTGAAAACCTTTGTTTTCAAAGTCATACGTAGATGTGACAGTTGTGATAGTAACAGTTCCTGTTTCAACACTAGAATGCAACTTTGCGTTCCCTTTAAAATGGATGCACACAGTGTTGTTTTTTCCTAGGCTCAAAGCTGAGTACTCTCCCATCATTGTAATAATCTTTTAGGCAAGTCCTATGACAGTTATACCAACAGATTTCCTCAAACATCACCCACCACCACCCTATCATCCGTATTTTCTGCTTGTCCATACTCCTTTCACCCTTTCCTCTGCTATCATCACTGGTATTTCTGCTTGTACTTGAAAATAAAAAGCAATTCCAGATTACAGCAAACTCAAGGACCCTGCTCCATAGTCTGACTCCTGTTGAAGGAAAAGGGGAGAAGCAGGAAGGGTCATCAGGTTGAGATCAGGCACCACCAGAAGCCCAGCTTGTGTTTCAAAAACAGGCTCCTGGACATACTCCCAGCACAGAAGTCTTCACTGGCTTGGAGAACAAGAAGGATTATTTCACAAATACCACTGTGTTTGAATTTCTAGAGGCTACCCAGGCCAAGAATACATCCCTAGGAGAGAAAAAGATACATAAACTTAGAATTCCATCCTAGATATATTCTTCTTAACTGTCTTAAACAATCAGGTTCCTAGATAATTTCCTGCAGCATCAAAGTGAAATGGTATTGTCCAACAGGAATACAGGAGAATGGGCCTAAGAGTCAGAAATAGAGGCAATAAGATAGAGCCCTGCCCTAATCTACTGGAAAGGATTTGCGATAGGAAATACCAATGCCTTCTTTCATGGGTATAGGTAAATCCTAGCGAAAACTTAAGAAGAGCAAAATCTTCAGAACTAAACATCCTCCCCCATACCCACCATATTTAGCACCTTATTGAGCTACTTGGTTTGTTGTCTGTAGGCAGCCTCCCATATAAAATATTACCAACATACCGTTTATCTCCAAACTCTTAATTCCCTAAGTGGTCTGATTTATACTAAGGAGATAAGCTAATACTCAGAATCACTAACAGCTTAATGTGCCATTCTCTATATTTTTAAAAAACATAGAGGTAATGTGATAACCAAAAAGAGTGAACTATTATATCATCTTTGGCTATGTGGCAAACATAAGCTCTTTTTAAGCAGGAGGAGCTTTTCCAGTTGCCTCTCCAATCAGAATATATAGAGAACAACCTACTTTATCTAATGTAAGGGAACAGTGATTATACGCTCAAGGTTACCGTGCTCCTCAACAATTAATTTAGCAATACCTAGTTTATAAGAAAACTGTAAGCTCACCTGCAGTGCTTCACCACACACTCATTGCTGCAGTACTCATTGTCCCAGTCCTTACTCACAACGGGAGGGTTCTCACACCCTGACCTCACACATCGAGGCTGGGGGGAGAGTGGCACAGGAGAGGCACTCACCAATTCAACATCCATCTGAGAAGGAGACTCAACCTATGCGAGGAACAGAATATCAAGCATGGATTAGACTGCTACTGTCTAGCCAGCCAGCTAGTCAAATTTGCCGACAGTCAGTGGAGTAACAGGTGTTACAATCCTTCACATACCACGGTGAAATTCTTGCTCTCTCCCTCTACAACCCAACTTTAGAACTTTGCCAAGCATACTGACCTGGACAGTCTTCCTATTAGGGAGGCTGGACACAAGCTAGGGCTCTTTTTAATCTCACCTATCATTGACTTTATTCCACACTTGAATTATATCCCTTTGAAAGTACCAAATCAAAAGTAGAATGTGGGTAGAAGTTGAGTCACCTCAACTAAGCAAGATGGGAAAAGCCAAGACAAGAAAAAATGTGATACTGTTAGAAAAAGGGAAAAGAACTTAGCAATTTGTCAAGTTACCTCCTGATTGGTTTTTTTTTTTCCCCCCTTTTAAATGATCGCTTCATTAATCAGAGCTAGAATCTCAAAAAGTCCCATATTTTAAGATGACCACTGGTCATGCACAAGTTAAAACTAGGGTAGCTGGCATCTGTTTATAGCTTTTGAAAGATTTAATATGTGCCAACTGTATTTTTTGGGCTATTTCTCCCTCACTGAAAACATCAAGCTCAGCAGTCAAGACCTAGGAGAAATGGAAGGATTCATATTGCCAAAACTTTTGGTGCTTGGATAGACACCTCTAAAAAGAAACTGCATAGACTGTATCCTCTCTAGTCAAACTACTGTGTTGCCTCTGCTTAGTTAAGGAATGGTCTGTGAAAGGAGGCCCCCTTCTGTTTCTCACTGGGGCGTTCTGGGTGGTACAAGTCACTGCTGTGGGAAACTGTCCTCTACGTACTACAGGAGGTGTCATATTCCCAGTGCACCAGGGATTAAATGCTAGTAACAATCCTAACTTTTACTGGGTCAACCAAAACTGCTTTTAAACACTTCTACCAGTCTAAAGGAAAAGATATGAGAACAGAAGTTCACCTCAGGAACTACATCTGTGATCATCTCACAGATTGTCTCAGGAGAGGTTGCCTCCACTGTATGGGCTTCAGGGCTACTGTTCATAGGCCGCTCAGGACTACTTTCCACAGTTGGTGGGACTAAAGTAGTTTGCATTTTCAGAGTGGGCCGAGGCACAATCTTGATCTGCAGAGGTGGTGGCTGTTGCTGTAAATTGAATCGAACTTTCTGAGGTGGAGGCTGTTGCATGGCCTGCAGTGGGGGAGGCTGCTGCAGAATGGTCACTTGCTGCTGAGTGGGGGGTTGAGGCATCTGTTGTAATGGAGGGGGCTGTAGTCGGGGTGGAGGCAGTTGCATAGAAGCAGCAGCTGCTGCTGCTGCCTGCAACACTGACCGAGTGACAATCTGGGCTTGCTGGCTGGGCTGGATAGTAGCTGTACTGGTCTGGCCTAGCTGGAGCCCCCGGGAGGTCACCACTGTGGCTGGGATAACGGTAACCATCCCTCCTTGAGACATGGTAATAGAAGAGGGCAGCATCTGTTTGGTGATAATCAACTTGGTGATATTGGGCTGGCCCCCAGCCCCTGAAGATGCCTGGTTTGCAACATACGATGAAAGAGTGGAGTTAACAACAATGGAAGGGGACAGAGCAGGTGGCTCTGTTGGGGCTGGTGCTGGAGATGCTGGGTCAACAGTAGCCATAGGAGGTGGAGAAGGAGTCTGTGCGGGTGGCACTGGATCCAATTCTACTGTTTCCACAGTGGCCTAAAAAATGACAAAAAAAAAAAAAAAATCATTGGGAGATATACCTACTCTCTACCCCAGGACATATTCACTCTAATCACCTCCCAAGAAAAGATATAATACAGATTTAAAAACAAAATAAGGAGCACCTGTAGGCCCTTCCCTGGTAAAAGTAAACACTGGAAACTAAAAGTAAACTCAGACTGGCAAGGTTTTACACACTGGAAATAACAGGAAAGTTGTTAAGACATTTTTAAGCTTTCAGTACTACATAGTATTAATAGGCTCCACAGGGTTTGGGTGGTCTTCTTATAACTGCTAAAAAAAACAGCTCAGAAAAATTTCTTATTGGTTTAAGTATCCACCTACAGTAGTGTCCAACTACAGTAACCCTCTCACCTGACACTCCTGGTTGTCTTTATAAGCAGCCAGAGCCTTCAGATACTCTTTCTTGGCAGCTTCAGTTTTCCGCTTATAAACCTGCAGGGAGTAGAGAGTGTTTAAAAAAGATCCTCATACTCATAGAAAAGACTGTTAATTCTATATTATTCATCAATAAATGGTGAATCACCTCAGTCTAATCACTGACAACTCCTTCTAGTGAATACACTTCTGAAAGCTAACAATTATGACAGCCTCCATGGCAGGCTCATTCCAATGAGCATTCCTCTGAAAGCCAGCCAATCAACCAGAGTCTTGCCAGCATAACTACACTACTAAACTTCTACACGTCTTAACATCAACCCATGTCCACCTCTAAACAAAATAAATCCTGACCCAAAACTATATGTAAAATCAAGCAATTTGCTCAGCCTGAGGACTGTGCCTAACCAGTATACTCTCCCTTAAAGAATGTGGTAAATTGTCTGCAAAGATGGTCAGTTTCTCCCATCTGGCATTCCCCTCCCTCCCATCAAGAACTGAAGTCTATCTCCCCTTCCTTTGAGTCTGGGCTAGCTCTGTCACTTGTTGTGACCATTAGAATGTGGCTGAAGTGATACTGAGACTTAAGAGGCCTTGAGGCATCTGTTTTGCTTTGTTAGAATGCTGCTGTAAGTCTGCCATATTGTAAAGAAGCTAGTCTAGCCGATACGAAGGATGAGAGGCCATGAGAAGAATCAAAGCATCACAGCCAACAGGCAGAACCAACTGACAAACATGGGAGTAAGGTCATCTTGGCCAGCCATACCAACTGTCATTTCACTACAACCACAGGAATGAGTCCAGGCAAGAGCAGGAGATAAATCACCCAACCAACTCACAGAATCATGATAAATAATAAATTGCCATTGTCTTAAGCCCTTACATTGGGGTGGTTTGTTGAGCAGCAATACATAACTTATACAAGTAAATAATAAATTCAGCTTTTTGTTTTAGATATTAAGTAGTGGATTCTGACACAAGAAACTGGGGGTTTAGGGTAATGATGATAGTCATCTTCTACTTCAACTGTATATTTATACAGTAGCACAATTTCATTTACTTTCTTAACCCAGATTAAACTTTTTATAATTTTATTTTGTTGTTGTTGAGAAAATATATCCAGCAAAACATATACCAATTCAACAGTTTCTACATGTACATTTAGCGACATTACATTCTTTGAGTTATGTAACCATTCCCTCCCTCCTTTTCTGAGTTGTTCCTCCCTCATTAAAATAAATTCACTGCCCCCTAAGGTTCCTGTGGTTCCTATCTAATCTTTCGAGTCACTGTTGTCAATTTGATTCTGTATAGACAGTTTTTAAGAGTATAATGCTCAAGGCAGACATTTTTTATTAGTTAAATGAAACTATTGTTTGGTTTTAAGACGACTTCAGGGGATGTTGTTGGTTTAAGGTTTAAAGATTATCTCAGGGCAACAGTTTCAGGGATTCATCCAACCTTCATGGCTCCAGGAAGTCTGGAGTCCAAGAGAATTTGAAATTCTGTTCTGCATTTCCCCTCTTTTGATCAAGATTCTTCTATGGAATCTTAGAACAAAATGTTCAGTAATGGTAGCCAGGTACCATCCAGTTCTTCTGGTATCATGGCAAAGGAGGCAGTTGTTAATGGAGGCAATTAGCCACACATTCCATATCCTTCTCCTATTCCTGACTTTCCTGACTTCTTCCTTTGCTGTTCAGGTGAATAGAGACCAATTGTTGTGTCTTGGATGGCCGCTTACAAGCTTTTAAGATCCCAGGCACTACACATCAAACGAGGTAGAACAGAGGTACTAAACACGGTATTAGGCAAATTAACTGGGATGGCCCATGAAACCATGACCCTACAAGGTTAAACTTTCTTAAGGGAGATTAACCATGGTTTTCAGGTTTACATTAGGCCAGTGAGGAAACCCTAAATTAACTTCTAAATCCAAACTAAGTAGTGGATTTTAGGGTTAGCCACCTTAGCATGCAACTTACCAAGCAATAGCCTAATTTTACAGATGGGAAAAATGAGGCTTAAAAAAGTTATCTAAAAACTAAACAGTTGAAAACAGATCAGGAATTACAACAGACACAATTAGTGGAAAGCACATGGGGCTTGGAATTAAAAAACCTAAGTTGTGTTTCAACTCTACCATTTAAGTTACGTGACCTTAACTATCAGTGTACTGACAAAGCCCATTTCCACCTTCAGTAAAAAGGGGAAAATGGTAGCTATTTTATCGGGTTATTGTGAGGATTCAGTGTTTTTATAATTATTAATACTTTTTAAGTGGGTTTTCTGGTTTCAGTGTATGGCTGCAATTTCTAAAACCAAGAGCTAACATTATAAAGGGCGTGGAAAAAAATTATAGGAAAATCTCTTTTTATCTCAATCAAAAACTTCTAGAATATTTACTATCTGTTAGTTCCTCATTATTTGCTCACCTGTTTCTGCTCTTCTCCCAGACTGTCCCACATAGAGGCCACAATTTTTGAAACCTCCCCAAAAGTGGCATTGGGATTCTGTCCCTTGATGGCAGCCTGTGTATCACGAAAAAATAAAGCATATGCTGAAACTGGTTTTTGAGGTTCATTAGGATCTTTCTTCCTTCTCTTCTTTGGCGCCTTCTGTTTTTTCCCTGCTTCTACCACAACTGTCTTCTGGCTGGGAAGCTGCTGTAGGGGGAAAAAAAAAGAATTACAAGAAGGAAGAAGGGAAGTTCTGTGTCTGGAGAACTGTAAGAAAAGGACTTTTATCTAGGGGGAAGCTATCTAGCCACAAGAATGAAATTTTCAGAAATGCTAAAAATAGAGGCAATAGATTAAAAGACATTAGTAAAGTATGTGAGAACCCATAAGAATGGGGATTAGGAGGAGCATTATAAACTGGAAGTGAAGAGGCAGGACCCCATACCCAGAAACAGCAGAGGAAAGGGCAGGGCAGGGCAGGAAAAAGGAATAGTGATTAGGTTCTGTATGCCAAGAGTCTTATCCTAGAGTATCATGGCAGAATTAATTTTGGCAGAGAATGCCTCACCCTCCGGAAATCCTCAACACCATCCTCATGAAGTGAACTAGTAGGTGAAGGGGTGGTTGAAAGACGATCCTCAGGTGACTGGGCAGGTGGCAGGATGGTGCCACCCCCTAAGCTCAAACCAAGTTGAGAACTCAGTTCTGACTGATCAATGGTAGTCAACTGGCTATGCCCCATCAAGCCAGATGTCATGTCTGTCATTGGTACATCAATTGTAACAGGTGGGTTGGCACTATACTGAGTTCCTATAGAATGGTCCAAGTCCTAAGAGAAGCAGAAGGACTAATTAAAACTAAATATAAAAAACACCACCCTTTCCCCCCTGAATTCAGGACAGTTTATAAATCCCCTGCTTACCCAAATTATATGATCATTTAAACCCTATGAAACATAACTTGTCTACCCATAAAACAGATAAGGCTTTTTAGGAAAGTGCAGAAATTAGTAAATTCACTTCTTTGCACTCAGAGGCCTACTCTGGAGTAACTAAATAATCAGAGAAGTCTTAATTTTGGACAAGTTAAAGAACAAATTATTCAGTAATCTAGAGGTAGTGACCACACCCAGGGTAAAGAAAAACTTCCCCTCGGAGCCCTCCCCAAAATAATAGCTTTTGAAGTTGCAATACACAGGCAACCAGAGTAAATAAGTCCAATGTTAGAGATGTCTGGCACCAAATAGAGACAGCAGAGATGTGCTACTGATGAGATGTGCTGGAAGCCCAACATACTGACTTATAACACATACTAATTCACACTACTACATTTGGCTGACAATTTTTGAATAAATCTCTCAAAACGTCAGCTATCACACTCATGTCTGAATCCTAGAATGTTAAGGCCATAATAAAAGGGAAGGAAAAAAAAAAAAAACTAACTAGGCAGTGTACTGACTGAGCCCCAGTTTCCACCTTCAGTAAAAAAGGGGAAGTGGTAGCTTTTTTCCCCCTCCAAAAAACACTATCATTTTCATTTCAGGGTTAAATTTGAACCTTTTATAATTTTAAATATTTTTCAAGTAAGATGGACCCAGATGGTAAATCTCATTATTCAGGGGAAATTAAGTCTTTGTTGGTTAGCCTTTAGTCCCAATAATGGAAACAAGCAATATTAAAGTATAGCAGGGAACAGAGTTACTTTTGTCTCTCCTAGCACCATGCCTATGAGCTTGGGTAAGCCTGATAATACTTTGCCCCTTACCATGGTCAAGCCCCCACTCAGGAGCCCCCCACCCTGCTCCATCAAGCCATGGGTCATGCCCACAGGCATGTCCAATGTCTGGACCCCATATTGGGCTGAAAAGCTGCCATCCTGTGAAGAGGACGGGTCTGCCAGGTCATCAAAGTGGCCAACTACATCTGAGACAGCCAGTGAGGGGTCAGAATCCAAGGAGATAGGTGGAATTTCAAATTCCTCATCACCCAAGCTTGGTGTATGGAATGTCTGTAGGGGGAAAAAAGGAGAAAAGAATTAGACAGTGGGAAGAGGAGGAACTGAATACTGCTAAGTGAAGAACACAGCTGGGTACTGGAGATTCTCAGTGTACCTCTTTTCAGTTGGGATCCTACTTTGGTTATCAATTTCTTAGGACTTACTTAATTTTACAAATAAACCTCTTCTTCCTCATACCCTTGGTCATATGGCACATGCAACGCTTCCAAAATCAATCACAAATTTCAATTATTTTATCTCTTTCTACCTTTATCATCTTGGTTGTCCTAAACTATTATGCCTATTGTTCTACTGAATAATCTATTATGCCTATTGTTCTACTGAATAATTCTTTCACCACCATTAGTAAGGACTCAACCTATATAACCTCTTAGCTATGATGCTTGAAATCTCTCTGAAGATTCTAATAGCAGTTATTTCACAATTATTTACACCTGTTAGACCACAGAAAATCAGTGTCAACCAGCCAATTATACTTTGACTATTGTTTTAGGTTCCTTTGAAGATCTGTCATTGGAACCTTATCCCCCTCTAAAATATTATTTGCACTTAGTGCAGAGTTTCCCACCTCTCCTCCATTTTAGAAACCATAATATTACCCACTAATAAAAGATTCTCATTTGTACAGGATTTTCTTCAGAAAACTCCAATAATGCCAAGATAACAGTGAGAGAAAACCCTTCATAAAAGCTACAGTAAAAAGACAAACTGGTTCTTCAACAGTTCCAGAACACATTCCTAGCTTGCTCTGACTAAGCCTTTCTGCAAGGGAGGAGGAAAAAGATTACTCCAGCTGGCTAAGGACCCAAATCCTTCCTCTAACTAGACCAATAATAATATACTCTTTCTATTCTGAATGAAACCACCATTTACACAGCTAGGAGATTCAATGCCTGAGCTAAAATATAATAACTGCTACAGCTCCCTTTTTGACACTACAATGTAGGCATCTGCAACAATAGAGCATTATATAAAAAAAAAAAAATCAAGATATTTTGGTGTCAGAGAGACCTGAGTTCAAGTCCCAGCTCTGCCACATGACCTTGGTTTTCCTCGTCTATAAAATGGGAATTATAATTGTAATACCCTCATATGGTTATTATGAGGATGAAAGAGATTTAGAACACAAAAGTTCATCATAGTGCCTGATACACATAATTGCTTAATAAACCATTATTAACCATTGTGGTTAATGATAATACTAATATCCTAATTATTATTATTAACCTGCCACCTGCCCCAATGAATTATCACAGATAATTAGAATCTTAGAAAATTTAAATTCTATGAACCTATCATACAACACAGTAAATATTAACTGGTTTCAGATCAAATTCAATGGGCATCCACATTTTTTTCATGATTAAACAATGCATTCCTTAAGAGTTCCTTAAGGTATTTCTAGACCCAGAAAGGGTCTCACTAATATCATAGTTTTTGTTTTAATGAAGACATTACTAAACAAAATATTTCCAGCCAGTAGAAATTAGGGAGAAAAATATATGCCTGTGAAATGCCCAATCTCTCTGAATCACATTGGCAAACAGAAAAAAAAGTTTCCTAGAAGATAAAAAAAAGCATACACCTTCATTTTTACATTTTCCTCCCAAAGTCCTTACTGTTTTACTTAGTATTGTGAAAATTTGATGGCTGTCTGGGATATAAGTTGAGAGTACACAGTTCTTCATGGGAAAGACTAACACCGTCCCCGCCCCCCAAAACTCAGCTGTTTCTCAGCATACAATTTATAGTTTTTCTTATTGTGTGGAAGTTCTTAACTTCAGGTCAGTGACTCTTTCTGAAAGTTAAGTTTAGGTTCATGTGAGCATTTTTCAGGGAAGAGTGTACAAAGATTTTTACCGAATCCTCAAGCAAACAAACGAAAAAAGTTACAGGGACAGAAAAACAGATCAAGGGAAACATTTATTATCCTAGATTGATGACTGTATAATAGCAGTTTTCTATTTTTTAAAAAATAGATTGCTTTAGCAAAGCAAAAGATGACTATCCTTTTCTGCTTATCACAACAAATAAAAAGGCAACTCTGCTGAGATATGAAAAATGATACTGTTTGTTAATGAGAACATAAAAAAAAATTCATATCTAAAACAAGAGATCACTGTTCTAGAGAGACTACCCCTCATAAACCATCTGGAGTGCTCACGTGAACTACACTAGAAACCAGACATGCAGAGATTCCATTGTATCAGTTCAACAAGGCATTCTTTCTATGCACCGTCTCCTGGGATGTGGAAACAGCTTTGTTATTCAGTATCTGTGGTGTTAATGGCAGTTTTTTTGGTTTTGTTTGTTTCTTCTTCTAAGTATGAATAGAAAATAACCGCAGTTATTAAGAATACAGGAGACAGCTCCTGTCCAGAGACAAAATGAGACGGCAAAAAGGGACAGGAGCTGGTTGAAGGGACATGGGAAATTCGGGGTGGAAAGGAGGAGTGTGCTGTCACATTATAGGAAGAGCAGCTAGGGTCACATAGCACTGTGTGTATAAACTTTTGTATGAGAAACTGACTTGAACTGTAAACTTTCACTTAAAGCACAATAAGAAAAAATACAGAAGAGTAAACCACATGCTATAATAAACATACAGAGTCACTCTAAATTTCTTTTATCACTACAAATTATCTGTAAGATTATGGGTAAAACCCAATAATGAATACCTTCACCCTGGTGGATCTATTATGTGACTAGATCATACTCTAAACTGTTAAATATAAAGCAAAGCTAAAGCTGTAGCAAATAATAAAGTGGTTTGGGCACGGAAGACAAAAACAGGAATATGATGCAGTTACCTTCTCACTCAGCTTCCCTTTCCTTCTCTATTAAATTTCTGGGCCTTTTTGTCTTTCTTGAGGGATGAGGCAGTTTGGGAATTACAGTTTATAAGCAAACATGCTTAGATATTGAGAGAACCAAAAAGTAAGAAAATACTACTTCCCTCCTTTTTCTCATTCCCCAATACCAAAATACACAATACAGTATTTATTTAAACAGTTTTTTGTATAGATTATTCATTGTAGAAAAATTCATTTCAATCTAACACCTATTTATTGAACAGTACACTGGTACTATGGGTCATTAAAAAAAAATTGTCCTTAAAAAATGAAATAACTTATGGTAGTGAAAATTTTACCTACACAGCCTGAAATTATTAACTGATTCTAATATCATAAGGGAGCCCCTGAGTGGTACAGTTAACATGCTCAGCTGCTAACTGAAAGGTTGGAGGTTCAACTTGGAAGAAAGGCCTGGTCATCTAATTCCAAAAAATCAGCCACTGAAAACCCTAGGGAGCATAGTTCTACTCTGACATACATGGGGTTGCCATGAGTCACAATCTACTGAATGGCAACTGGTTTTACTGGGGTTTTTTAATGTTGTAAGTACTTTTCCCAAAAGTGCTCAAAGCACAATATTACATAAGAGCCAATCTGAATGAGAGAAACAGATTAAATTCCCTCCAGATCATAGAGATTTCTATGCCAAGAAATGCTGTAACAAATGCTAAGCCTTCCTCTCTGGATACCTACTATTTTAAAAGTATTATTATCATTCCTTATTTTATTGGGATATAACTTACATAAAGTACACACATTTTAAGTGTATATAGCTCAATGAATTTCTACGTATGTAAACACCTGAGTAACCACTACCCGGATCAAAGATAGAGAACATTTCCATCCCCCTAATAGGTTTCCTCATGTCCCTTCCCAGTCAGTACCTATCCTCCCCACAGTAGGTACCACTATTCTGATTTTCATCGCCCTAGTTTAGTTCTGCCTATAGAATCCTTCAGTATTGCAACTCCAAGCTTGAATTTTTCCTTCAGTCCTTTCAGCTTGAGAAATGCCAAATGTGTTCTTTCCTTTTGGTTTTCTAACTCCAGGTCTTTACACATTTCATTTTATTACTTTACTATGTCTTTTTGAGCCACCCTTTGAAATCTTCTGCTCAGCTCTTTGACTTCGTCATTTCTTCCATTCGCTTTAGCTACTCTACGTTCAAGAGCATTGACAGAATACCAGTTGAGATGTTTCAACAAATGGATACAATGCTGGAAGCACTCACTCGTCTATGCCAAGAAATTTGGAAGACAGCTATCTGGCCAACTGACTGAAAGAGATCCATATATGTGCCCATTCCAAAGAAAGGTGATTCAACAGAACGCAGAAATTATTGAATATCATTAATATCACACGCAAGTAAAATTCTGATGAAGATAATTCAAATACAGTTGCAGCAGTACATCAACAGGGAATTGCCAGAACTTTAAGCTGGATTCAGAAAAGGACATGGAATAAGGGATATCATTGCTGGTATCAGATGGATCTTGGCTGAAAGCAGAGAATATCAGAAAGATGTTTACCTGTGTATAACGGATTATGTAAAGGTATTCGACTGTGTGGATCATAACAAATTATGGATAATATTACAAAGAATGGGAATTCCAAAACACTTAATTGTGCTCATGTGGAACCTGTACAGAGAACAAGAAACAGTCTCGTTTGAATATAACATGGGGATACTGTGTTGTTTAAAATCAGGAAAGGTGTGTGTCAGGGTTGTATCATTTGACCATACTTATTCAGTCGGTATGCTGAGCAAATAATCCGAGAAGCTGGACTACATGAAGAACACGGCAAGAGGATTAGAGGAAGACTCATTAACAATCTGCGCTATGCAGATGACACAACCTTGCTTGCTGAAAGCGAAAAGGACTTGAAGAACTTACTGATGAAGATCAAAGACTACAGCCTTCAGTATGGATTACACCTCAACATAAAGAAAACAAAAATCCTCACAACTGGACCATTAAGTAACATCATGATAAATGGAGAACTGAAGTTATCAACAATTTCATTTTACTTGGATCCACGATTAAAGCCCATGGGAGCAGCAGTCAAGAAATCAAATGACATACTGCATTGGGCAAATCTGCTGCAAAAGACCTCTTTAAAGTGTTAAAAAGCAAAGACGTCACTTTGAGGACTAAGGTGTACCTGACTCAAGCCATGATATTTTCAATTGCCTCATGCATGTGAAAGCTAGACAATGAATAAGGAAGACTGAAGAAGAACTGATGCTTCTGAACTACAGTGCTGGCGAAGAATATTAAATATACCGTGGACTGCCAGAACAAACAAATTTGTCTTGGAAGAAGGACGGCCAGAATGCTCAATAGAAGCGAGGATGGTGAAACTTCACCTCACATACTTTGGACATGTTACCAGGAGGGACCAGTCCCTGGAGAAGGACATCATGCTTTGTAGAGGGTCAGCAAAAAAGAAGACTGTCAACGAAATGGATTGACACAGTGGCTGCAATAATTGGTTCAAACACAGCAACAACTGTGAGGATGGCGCAGGACCAGGCAGTGTTTCGTTCTGTTGTACATAGGGTCACTATGCGTTGGAACTGATTCGACAGCACCTAACAAAAACAACAGTTTAGTTTTTGCCTATCCTTATCTTCTTAAAAAAACGAACTCATACAGTGTATACTATTGTATCTGGCTTCTTTCAGTCAACGATATATTTCTGAGATCATCCAAATTGTTGTATTTATCAGTAGTTCATTCTTTCTTTATTGTTATGTAGTATTCCTTCTACAAATGTGCCACAGTTTACTTATCCATTCTTCATGTGATAGATATTTGGGCTGGTTCCAATGTTAAGCAGTTATGGGTAAAGTTGCTGTGAACATCCTTACACATTTTTTAGTGAACATATGCACTCATTTCTCTTAAGTATATATCAAGGAGTGGAACTGATGGGTCACAGGGTAGGCATAATCTTATCTTTAGTAGATACTGCCAGTTTTCCAAGGTGGTTGAACCAATTTATACTCTCACCAGCAATGAAATACTCTCACCAGCAATCTACATCCTTGCCAACTCTTGGAATCGTCAGTCTTTTTAATGTTAACCTTCTAGCAGGCGTGCAATGGTTTCTAATTATGATTTTAATTTGCATTTCCCTGATGAGTGATGATAATACTTTTTTATATGCCTAATGGCAATGTGGATATTATCTTTTGTGAAGTACCTGTTCAAATTTTTTGCCTGTTTCTAAATTGGGTTCTTTCTTTTACTCTGCAGAAGTACTTGATGTACTCTGAATATCAATCAGATATATATGTACTGTAAATATCTTCTCTCAGTCTATGGAGTTCCTATCTACTTTCTTAATGATGTCTTTTAATGAAAAAGTTCCTTATTTCAATGAAGTCCAATTTTTCAGTGTTTTCATTTATGGGTAATGCTTTTTGTGGACATCTATCCTTTTCTTGTAAGAAAACTCTAAAAGAATTTTTAAAAAATATTACCTTTGAGTACATCTAAATTATATTTGGGGTAGCTCACAGTAAGATTAGATACAACAAAAACCACAAACCCGTTAAAAAGAAGTTCAAAAAAAAAAGAGAGAAGAGAATATACAGAAGTTGTTATGAGAAAAAGGAGAACTGCTGTTGATTTTATTTTTGGTTTGTGACTTTGGAGACCCCATGTGCTACAGAGAACTGCTCCATAGGTTTTTCTAGGCTGTAATCTTTGTGGAAGCAGACCACCAGGTCTGTTTCTTACGTGGTGCCACTGGGTGGGTTTGAACTGTCAACCTTTTGGTTACTAGCCAAGTGCAAATCACTTGTGCCACCCAGGGACCTTAAAAAGAACTGTTAACAATGACAAAGTCTTAGGCTACAGGAAGCTACTGAATTTGAGTCTAAAATTAGTTATGAGTTTCTTGACAAAATAGTGTTTTGTTTTTGCCTTAGTCATTAAAAAAATAAAAGATCAGACTTAAACCTGGAGAGTTTCTTGATGTTATAAAAAGAAGCCACTTCTTATGTAGTTACCTCTTGATTGTACAAGTTTATACATGGGGCAGAGGATTAAGAATTGTGGGTAAATTTGAAAGCTACTTATATTTAGTTCTGAAATGTACTTTCACATGGATGAGGCCAATGTGAAATTTATAATATTCCAAAAAAATGAAATTAAATCGTGGAGACCTCACTCAGAAGAAACTGGCAATGAGACTGCAAAGCACCAAAGAGATTTTAGTTGTATATCATTTCTAAATTTGCTACTTATTTGGTTCACACTTTCTTCTGCTTAGGAGAAGAGTAATAAATGATAATAGCAATAAAAAAAGTTAAAAAAAACTAACAACTGCTCCTTGTCAATCTGATTCTCATCCATGAGAATTTTAGGATTTATTATAGGATAAGCCCATTCAACAACAATTAAGAACTCTTGGTACAAAAAACAAAATAGTTCACACTACTCTTGGAAAAAAATAAATCCTCAAAAGACAGCAGAAGGTTCAAGACTTCACACTTTCTCAAAGAGAGAAAAATGTATTTTTGTATGTTTCACCTTTCTCTTTTGCCTTGTCTAAGCAAGTGATACAAATCTGTATTCTAACAATATTTCCACAAAAACCTTTCCACGAATACTAAAGGACCTTACCATAACAATCCTACTTCACACCATCTAAACTATTATTACAGCCATTTGACAGCTGGGCAAACTGACATACAAAGAGAAGCAGCCTGCCCAAACTCTGAGTCACTGGCAAGCAGAAACACATGTTCTACCCAACTTTCTTCATGTTCTGTGACAGCTATTTCCTTTCCTCGTGTTATTAGCAAAACATGCTGGCGCCATGTATGTGAACATACCTATTAATTTTTTATCAGAGTAGGAAATGTAAATGAAAAAAGACCCCTTCAACAGAGTTCGTTTCAAGAATGAGCACATATCCACACTTAACCCCTGCTAGGTAAGCTCCTCCCCTCATCCCAATTTCTTTAGCTAAAAATTTTCGATCCCTCAAGATTGTTGCAGCTATTTCTACCGAACAAAATGAGACAATTCCTCGCAGTCTTCCAATTCAGAATCAATCTCCTCCTTAAATAGATCATCTCTTTCCAACGTCCTGCTTTTCTGATGACAGCAGTTCCCCGGACACACCCCAGACAGTCCTCTTAGGCTCCAGAAGCAGCTACCACATTTCTCTGAACACCAACCGCGGCCCGGGTTCCTAGCCCCCGGTCCCTGGAGTCCGCGCTCCCCACCCCACCACCCTACCCCCCACCGCTGCCGCAGGCCCTCCCCCAGCAGCGTCGGCAGCTCTTGCTCACCTCGGCCCCTGACAGGAAGGGGTGCGAGGGCCCTGTGATCGTCAGGTAATTGTCGTTTCCTCCGGGAAACTGGAAACCAAAAAAAAGCCGCGGGGATAAGTTAGGGGGAGCAGGGAGTTAGCTCGGAGCGACGGATTCTGACCCCGACTTTCCGACACTTCCCAAACCCGGCTGTCTCTCTCCTCCCCCGTCAACCGCCTCTCCGCCCGGCTTCTCGCCTCTGCTTCAACCCCGTCAGCCGCGTTCTCTCGCCAGCCTTCTCAGCGTTCATGTTCCTACCTCCATCTTCACACAACCGCTACCACCGTCTTAGTTCCGTCATCGCTCCCACCGCCCCCACTGGACTCGGAATTTGCGTCACTTCCGTAAGGACGTGCGTCACTCTTTGCCGCAGCGAGTCAGGCCTGGAAAGGACGAGCGGACGGAAAGGCTAACGCTCGCCCCCTGGAGCTAGGTGGGGTAATGGCATGTCTAGCGTCCTTGGAGGCGGTGTTGGGTTATTAGCGCCGCTCCGGATCGAGAGAGATTTTCTGAGAAGAGCAGAAATCAGGCCACATTTGGAAAACTGAAAGTAGTTTAATATGGCTGGAGCATGGAGTTTGGAGAGTGGCAAGAAATAAAGCTAGGAAAAAAATTAGATACCAAGTTTTAAAACACCTGAAGGCCCGGTGCCGTCGAGTCGATTCCGACTCATCGTGACCCTATAGACAGAGTAGGACTGCCTCATAGTTTCAAGGAGCAGGATGGTGGATTCGAACTGCTGATCTTTTTTTTAGTTAGCAGCCTTAGCTCTTAACTACGCTGCCACCAGGGCTCACCTGAAGACAATGTTGAGCAAATGACAAGTTTTAAAAGAGAAGAGTGAAGTGATCAAGAACAGGTTTTCCCCAGAGCCCAATAAAGGACATGTTTCTTTCAGAATTCTGTCCTCTGTACCAAGAAAATCCGACAGTTGAATAGAAAATCTGTACAAATTGTAAGGGTCTCTGAGTGCGTAACTAGAGGAAATTGCATAAAGGGAGACAAAAGCTTTATCTTAATTCTAACCCATTGAAATTCTATTCCTACCCTGGGGGAAAAAGATTTAGTAACTTTTTTTCAGTAGGTACCACTTTATACTTCATAAAGCAATTTGGAATAGTAAGAAGTGATTGTTAAATCTATCTTATTAACTGCAACACCTTAGAGTTGAGATATTTTGAGTATCTCTGCATACCTACATGGGACACTGAACAAGTGCTTATAAGCCCTTTAGCATAAGATGTATTAGCGCTCTCTCTTACTTGCAAATCAGAATTCCTCGTGCTATGTGCAATGTACTGTATGAAAATAGAAAACGGTAAATTGTCTGACTTGTGGCCAAGAATTTTTTATGTAACTGACCTTCAGTTTTTAATTCTTGAGACAAGGTGAATGCCAGGTAAACCAAAAGTCTTATTCAGACTGCCAGTTTCCATACTCTTATGAAGGAGACTATTTCCAGTGAATTATGGGAATTATTGAACATCTGAAGTATGTCATTCTTGACAACTTATTTCTTAGATAGGCTCCTTTATCAAATAAAAAGTTCTTGAGTTGCAAAAAATATATATTGTTTCATGTGGGACAACTAGAAAGTGACTCCGAAAAGACATCAGGAAGTATTTTCAAAATTTTTAGGAAAAGTTACAAAATTAACCAATGGGACAGAATTGGGAACCCAGATGTAAGTCCATCCATCTTTAACAAAAGGCCAAATTTCGTTAAATGGGGAAAAGACAGTCTTTTTAACAAATGGTACTGGCAAAACTGGATGTCCATTTGTAAAAAAATGAAACAGGACCCATACCTCACACCATACACAAAAAGCTAACTCAAAATGGATCAAAGACCTAAATATAAAATCTAAAACTATAAAGATGATCAAAGAAAAAACAGGAACAACACTAAGGGTCCTAACATATGGTGTAAATAGAATACAAAACATAGCTAAAAGTGTACAAACAGCAGAATATGCACTAGATAAACGGGACCTCCTAAAACTGAAGCACTTATGCTTATCAAAAGACTTCTCCAAAAGAGTAAAAAGAGAACCTACAGATTGGGGGAAAAATTTGGCCACGATATATCCAACAAGAGTCTAATCTCTAAAATTTGTTTTAAAAAATCTTTAATACCTCAACATCAAAAGGACAAACAATACAATTAAAAAATGGACAAAGAATATGAACAGACACAGCACCAAAGACATTCAGATGGCTAACAAACACATGAAGAAATGCTCTCGATCATTAGCTATTAGAGAGATGCAAATCAAAACTACAATGAGATACCATCTCACCCCTACATTACTGGCACTAATCAAAAAAACAGAAAATAACAAATGTTGGAGAGGTTGTGGGAAGATTGGAACTCTTATACACTGCTGGTGGGAATGTAAAATGGTACAACCACTATGCAAAACAATACTGTGCTTCCTTAAAAAGCTAGAAATAGAAATAACATATGACTCAGCAATCCCACTCCTAGGTATACACCCTAAAGAAATAAGAGCCGCGACACAAATAGACATATGCACACCTATGTTCATTGCAACATTATTCACAATAGCAAAAGGATGGAAACAACCTAAGTGCCCATCAACAGATGAATGGTTTAACAATCTGTGATACATACACACGATAGAACATTACACAATGATAAAAAATAATGATAAATCCGTGAAACAATTCACAACATGGATGAATATGGAGGACATTATGCTGAGTGAAATAAGTCAATCACAAAAGGACAAATATTGCATGAGACCAATATTATAAAGAAACAAGAAAATGTTTACACACAGGAAAAAAAAATTATTTGGTGGTTACCAGGAATGAAAAGGAGAGGGAGGGAAAATTACCAAATAGATAGAAGACGTGTGTTAATATTGGTAAAGGGAAAAGCAATACACAGTATGCGGGAAGTCAGCAAAACATGACCAAGCCATGGGAGGACACTGAGAGAAACAAAGGGCAACTTCGCATAGCACAGAAAATCCTGCTACAATAGCATTAGCAAATACTAATTTACAAATGAATACATAGGTAGATAGGTATGACAAGAGGTGTAGGAGGGTGTAAGGGAACACATCCACCTGCAGATATAGGTTTGGTAGTGGATATTTCTACATACGTAACTGTAGATGCTGCTTATATAGTAATACAGACTGTAGAGTATACAGGGGCCACAGTCAGGGCAACTTCTTAGACATGACCAAACACCTCAAGGGATGAAGTTCCTAGGCTCGAAGGCAAAGGACCATAGACTCAGAGGACATCTACGTCAATTGGCACAACATAGTTCATAAAGACAAAGTTCTGCATCCTACTTTGGTGAGTAGCATCTGGGGTCTTAAAGTTTGTGAGTGGCCATCTAGCATACAATTATTGGTCACTTACCAGCCAGAGGAAAGGAGAGTGAAGAAAACCAAAGACTCAAGGGTGCAATTAATCCAAAGAACTAATGGACCACGCTAACCACAGCCCACACTACCCTGAGATCAGAAGAACTAGATGGTGTCCAGCTACCACTACCTACCACTCTGACTGGGATCACAACAGAGGGTTCCAGACAGAGCAGGAGAAAAAATTGTAGAACACAAAATCAAATTCACCAAAAAAGACCAACTTACTGGTCTGGCAGAGACTGGAGGAACTCTTGAGACTATGGCCCCAAGACATCCTTCTGACCTGGAACTGAAGCCATTCCCAGAGACCACCTTTCAGCCAAACCATAGACAGGCCCATAAAATAAACAATAACACCCAAAAGGAAAGTTCCTCAGAACAATCTATTATATGAGATTATAAGGGTAACATTTGCCCAAAAGCAAAGATGAGGAGGCAGGAAGAGGTAGCAATTCAGGAAGAAAGGAAATGGGGGAACCTAGGACGGAAATGGGGAGAGTGCTGACATGTTATGGGGAGTTATATCAATGTCATTGTCAAGCAACACTTTATCTACAAACTTTCAAATGGGAAACTAATTTCCTCTGTAAACTTTCACCTAATGCACAATTAAAAAGTTGGGAAAAAAAGTTACGAAATTAAATACTACCTAACTAAATTTCATTCTGCTGTACACAAGGTCACTATGAGTTGGAACTAACTTGACAGCACCTAACAACAACAAGAACATTGGTAGAAATTTATTCACCTTTGCTTATTTGATTTTTTAATTTATTTTATTCCCATGTCCATGTTTTGGTTGCAACTCCGAGGTCATTATCACTTAGAACACTTTTTTTTTTTTTAAGAAGGAAAATGAAGAAACTTCAAAGAACACAAATTAATTGGAGCAAATAGGCAACAGTGAATAGCTTAGTAGCACTGAGTACACATTAAAGAAGAGCACCTCACTCAACATGGGTGTTGTTAATGAGAATCACACTCTTTCTCTTGGTCTTCACTGACAGGTGTGGAGTTTGGGGCCCTATGGTCAACACTGATGGAAAACAAATCAAACTTCAAATCTGGGATATGGTGAGAGAGGACAGAATAATTTAGTCCCTGACCAAGATCCCAATATAACAGGAAAGGCTGATGCAGGGGGAAAGAGAGGGCTATGAGTGAGGGTGGGGCTAATTGTGGAGATGGGAGTAGAGAAGAGGAAAATCGAAGAGACTGGGAAGCTTTCGTTTTCATCTGTTACAGTTAAAATTAAGAATGCCATATCTTTGTACTTTTATTTTAAACTACCCAAGTAATATATGAGTTTCTTCTAGTAAAAATTAAATTAAAAAACAGAAGTTTATAGAGTAAAAAGTGAATGTCACCTTCCCACGCATAAACCCATTTCTCCCTTCCAATCTTGGTTGCTACTCTACCAGAGGAAATCGTGATTAACAATTCAGTGCATATGCTTTCAGACTATTTCTCTGCATTTAGATATATAAATACATACAAATAAACGGTAAAGGTTTTGTTTTAATTAGTTTTTACATGTATAGAATCATTGCAAAATAGACCCAGCTGTGTGACTTAGATTTTTTATTTAACAATCTCTGTATTTTGGAGGTCTTTCCATATCAGTACATACAGATCTACCTCATTCCTTTAACCACTTCATAGTGTTATGGAATGTCTGTACCATTATTTAACCATCCTCCCATTGACGGAAATTTGGGTTGTTTCCTATTTTTCACCATTGCAAAGCTTTATTCACATTTCTTATATAGTACATCTTTATGCAAATGTTTGAGAATTTCTGTGGAATTGTCTGCCCCAAAGTGGAAATCTTGGGTCAAAGGTTACGCGTATTTTAAAATTTGATAAGCATCCGAATCTGTTGGTGTCGAGTCAATTCTGACTCATAGCGACCCTACAGGACAAAGTACAACTGCCCATAGGGTTTCCAGGGAGCGGGTGATGGATTCGAACTGCTGACTTTTTGGTTAGCAGCTGAGCTCTTAACTGCGCCACCAGGGCTCCTTGAAAAGCACAGTACGGCCAAAATTTAGTCTGGCTTAGTGTAATTTTGCTTCATCCAGATAAACTGATTTCATGTGCATTATTTCATTTGATTTGTACCTTTCTTGCCCCTAAGGAAAATAATACTCCAGTCTCACTCTCTTTTATTTTATTTATTATCATTCTTTTTTCTTTTTTCCATTTCAGAAGGATGTCTTAGGGTAATAGTCTCAGGGGTTCCTCCAGTCTCTGTCAGACCAGTTTAAGTCTGGTCTTTTTTGTCAATTTGATTTTTTTTTAATTTTTCTTCCTCTCTGTCCAGGACTCTCTGTTGTGACCCCAGTCAGAGTGGGTGGTAGTGGTAGTTGGGCACTTCACTCTCTTTTTAGCTAAGAGGAGCTAGGAAATAGTTTCTAATATTCAGGCAAAATCTCTTCCTATTTTTATTTACTTCTTATCATTTTGATTTAATTTCTTCTCAGAACAGAACTAGACATTGTATTTACAAGCAATGCTGAAGTTATAGTTCCTCTTTTTCTTTTCTCCCTTTTCCCCTTCTCCCACCTCACCACCAACACACATAGATGTACTTTTCTTAAAAGTAGTCGTTTGCTGCTCTAGTGCCAGAGGTCTTTTTTTACAGAATCCTTTTCTGGTGGTTTTCAAGGTTGTTACCACTTTTGGGTACACTGATTAATCACACGCTCTTAACTAGGATAATATTCTCCTAGATTTGTTAATTGTATTTCTAATCATTTTAATAACATTTTGCCCTTCCATTTAGAATTTTCTTCTCACCATACTGAGGTGTCCTAATTATAGGAACATGACTCACATCTCTAACAGTGCTAGCACTAGCCAGATGCCTCTAAAACTTCCAAATTTGCCTCATTTAGCCACTTTTTTCCTCTAGACTTTTCCTCCAAATAAAGCCTAAGAGGTACCATTCTATGTCTGTTGCAAAGTTAAGTTCATTTATTTTTTAGACAACTGCCAGTTTTTCCCTTCTCCTCCCACAGTTTGGGCACAGGGGTTCTTTGTCACTATTATCCCTTTTCTTCAACCCAAGTAGACATTCAACTCTCCTTTTATTATCCCCTAATTTTTATATTTCCCACAAAGGGGGGTCTGCCCTCCTAATGAGGCCACGGGGCAAATTCTGTGTTGGTGACAAAGAGTGAAGCCTGTAGGTGTCAAGACTGGTATAAGCTAAATTCTTCCTCTTTAACTTAAACCTCTGCTATTCCAAAAATGGATTTTTTTCAAATTGTGCTTTAGATGAAGGTTTACAGAGTAAATTGATTTCTAATTAAACAGTTAATACTTATATTGTTTTGTGACAAAGGCTGCCAACCCTGCGGCATATCAGCACTCTTCTCGGCCTTAGGTTCCCTATTTCCGTTCATCCAGCTTGCCTGTCCCCTCCCACCTTTTCATCCTTGCCCCTGGGCTTGTGTGCCCATTTAGTCTCATACACATGGTTGAGCTACGTGTATATGGTTTGTTTAATGGGCCTGTCTAATCTTTGGCTGAAAGGTGAACCTCAGGATCAACTTGAGTACTGAGTTACAAGGGTATTGGGGGCCATACTCTCAAGGCAAAAATGGATGTTTTGATGGTAGGAGAAAAACTCAATGGGTGCCAGTTAGTGGTATGGTCATGATAATGAGACTATTTAAGTGTTGCCTTGCTAACTTTTTCTTTTTTTCCTTAAGTGGTAATATGAGACATGGTTGGATCAGAAGTACGGAAGTTGAGAGCCACTGCCCTGTTGACAGGATCCTCTAGAACCACATGGCCTGACAGTCACTTGTGATCCAACCAGCCTAGTTCTTGGTTTTTGCTTTCGAACTGTTTCCCGTATAAAGATATGTGTTCAAACTTTTCTTTTCCCCTTTAATACTTGTTTGTTTTGACATTGATCTTTGCTGAATCATAAAAAAGATACATCAGGTTTCAGAATACAGTGGTTTTCTATTTACTTTGAAAATTCTTAGAGATTTATACCTATAATCTTGCCTGCCACTCTCTGGGTAGAGCTGATCATTTCTCCCTTGCTGTCAACCATGATCTCTTGCGAATTCTTTACCCACCTTGGCTTCCCACTTTGTTGATGCATTCCTTTACTTAGTCCCAAAGCCATTCTATAATGAAAATGTTCAGGGATTAACATGATGGATATTTTTAAAGAGATCAAATTATTCAAAGTTGTTTCTTGTTGTCATCACTTTCCTAGCTATTGATAAGGATTTAGAGAGTTATATTACTTTTCATCTTTTTTCACTCAATATATATGGTTGCTCAAATAACCATGACAATGTAGAGGCATTGTGCTGTCAGTAATATAAAATATGGATCAAATAATCTCAAATTCCTTTACATTTTACTTTGGAAAGCATTTAGATTCTTAGGAAATGGGTGTATCTGACTTTCTAGGAATTCATTCTTCAAACTATGTCTTGAAATTATAATATCATGCTTCTACTTGGGAGAAATTAGAAAGCTGTTAATTTTCTTTATCAAACCTCCATCTTAGTTCTTTATTGCTTCGTATTTTATACTGGGGTTGGACAAGGATGCCTCAGACTGATACAGAACAGTCCAAGTTGAACCACCCTCTCCTTCTAGCTTACTGGCTCATAAACTTTGGTTCATGAACTAGACTCAGTTAAAGATGTAGAGTGATTTGATTTTAAAAAGCATTTTCTAGTTTCCCACTGGAGGTATTTTCAGCTGATAAAGTTAAATGCTGCCATGTGATTCAACTATTACTTGAGCATCCCTCAAACTTTCCCTTTTAGTGCCTGGTAAGCCCCAGAGGTAGAGTGGTGGGGAGGTATCATGGATTGAATTGTGTCCCCCAAAAATACCTGTCAACTTGGCTGGGTCATGATTCCCAGTATTGTATGATTGCGTACCATTTTGTAAACTGATGTGATTTCCTTACATGTTGTAAACTCTATCACAATGATGTAACAAGATGGATTAGCGGCAGTTATTCTGATGAGGTCTACAAGATTAGATGGTGTCTTAAACCAATCTCTTTTGAGATATAAAAGAGAAGTGAGCAGAGACCCATGGGGACTTCATACTACCAAGAAAGCAGTGCCAGGAGGAGAGCACATCCTTTGGACCTGAGGTTCCTGTGCTGAGATGCTCCCAGACCAAGGGAAGAGTGATACATCACAAGGACCTTTCTCCAGAGCAGAGAGAGAAAGCCTTCCCCTGGAGCTGATGCCTTGAATTTGGACTTGTAGCCTACTAGATTGTAAGAGAATAAATTTGTCTTTGTTAAAAGCCATCCACTTGTGGTATTTCTGTTATGGCAACACTAGATGACTAAGACAGGAGGCCAGGGATAGGGGTTGGGGAGAGCTTGCAAAAATAACAGAAAAGGAGAAAAAGTCAGAAAAAGATAAAAGTAAAACAGGACTCAAATCATGTAAAACATAATACTATTAGTGAATAAATATAAAATTTTAAGTGAGTTCTTGGAGGGAAAAGGTTTTTTTTTTAAATCTTAAAGCATTACTGGTATTATTAACAAAGGACTTTAGAATCATTTTTATTTTTAGATTCTGATGTTCTAACAGGTGTGCAATCCACAAGAACATTTGTCTGATTGTTGAAGAAAGAGATTCATGTATTGTTAGAAAAGTAACCTTGGAATTAGTGTACTGGAACTCTCTTTCCACCCACAAACCCTGATTTAAATTGTATGTCGTAATGACTAAGAAAACAAGCTTTTGTGCTAGGAAGTCCTAAGATTCTAAATTTAAATTATGGCTCTGGTGTTTGTAGGCTTTGTTATGGATTAAATTGTGTCCCTCCCCCCAAAGTGTGTATCAACTTGGTTAGTCCATGATGCCCAGTGTTGTGTGATTGTCCACCATGTTATCATCTGATGTGATTTTCCTATGTATTGTAAATCCTACCTGTATGAGGTTAATGAGGTGGGATTAGTGGCAGTTATGTTAATGAGGCAGAACTCAATCTACAAGATTAGGTTTTGTCTTAAATCAATCTCTTTTGAGATATAAAAGAGAGAAGTGAGCAGAGAGACATGGGGACCTCATACCACCAAGAAACAAGAGCCAGAATAGGGTGTCCTTTGGACCCAGGGTCCCTGCACTGAGAAGCTCCTCCACTGGGAAAGATTGATGACGAGGTCCTTCCCCTAGAGCCAACAGACAGAGAAAACCTTCCCGTGGAGCTGGCACTCTGAATTTGGATTTCTAGCCTACTAGACTTTGGCAGAATAAATTTCTCTTTGTTAAAGCCATCCACTTGTAGTATTTCTGTTATAGCAGCACTAGATAACTAAAACAGGCTTTATGATTTTTAGCCAGTTACTGAACTTGCCTCTTTGAGCTCCGTTTTCCCCATTGTGTAGGAACAATAGTAGCTGCCTCAGGGCTGCTAAGAGAACTTAAATGAGATAATATATGTAAGTGTCTCTTACAGTTCCTGACACATCATATATGCCAAAAAAAATATATTATTGCAGCATTATTATTATCAACACTATTATTTATTATTTATTACGCTATGAGAAAGTTCATTTATCTTCCCATGTTCGCATCTTAGTTTTCCCATCTGTAAAATATAAACAATAGTCTTCTTTCCCAACCTTTATGTAGGGGCGTGAGGATATATGATTTCAAAAATGTGAAAACTTTCCTAATAGGATAGAGTAGCTGCACAGGGTATTCATATTGTTTTTTAAAAGATGCTTTTGCTTTCCCTAAAGAAAAAAAAAAGAACTATTCCATCAAGAGTGCAAAAGTACCCAGTATGGGGGTATTAATAAATTGCTCTACTATAAACAAAATTTAATATCTTGGCCCTGTTGGAAATGACATTAGAGTGTGAACAGTTATTTTTTTAGGAAAACTTGATCCTGGGCCCTGGGCTTCTTTCCCTGTTTCTTATTCCTATTTGTTATGACAGGGTCCCAGCAAGGGACATCTAGATTTACTAGTGGAACACTAATGGTGAATTAGTAGCATATGACCAATTTAAATGCTTTTTATCTGACTAATTTTCTGCATCATCCCATTGGCATGAAACTTTCGTTAGACAGAGTACTGGCATTCTAAGTTAATTTTCCTTTTTATAGATAATGGAACAGGAACAGAAAGATTAATATGATGTATTTAATATCATGTTTGGGATTGAAAAGTACAACATATTCTGAGTTTCTAGTTCTATTTCCGGTTGTTCTCTCCTAGGGGATACTGGGAAATGTTTGGGAATGCCATTGATTGTCATACTGACTGTGGGGTGCTACTGGCATTTAGTGACTAGAAACCAGGGATGCTAAACATCGCACTTTGATGGATAATCTCACAGAAAGAATTGGCCCACCAAAAATATCAATAGCACTTCTATTGAAAAACATTGATTTCTGGGCTTTTCCCCGGGCAGCCATGTTTCCTTTCCCTAATTGAAGTTTTTTTTTAAGTTAAGTCCTTTGGTGTAGGATGGCATGTGATCAAGTCAGTTCTCTGGGAATAACCTGGTTTTGTTGGGATTTTTTGTTGCCATGTTGGTGGGAAAAGCTGGGCAAGAGTACTTCTGTTCTATCACCCATTTCTTCTACAGAGGAGCAACTAGAGCACTGCTCGTCTATGACATTACAAACTGAGTTAGATCTGTGAGTGGAAAGGAGAACCCCTGCTATGTTCTCTAAATCTTTCTTTTCTACCTATTGATTCTGTTGAGAATGTTAACTAGGAATGGCCTCTCTAATATTTTTCTTTATACACATAGATTTCCCTCCTTTTCCCATACATTTGGAGCTGCTTTGGCCTTTTGAAATGGGCCTCTCATCCACTCTTTTGCTGTAGGCATGAAACTTCCAACCACCTGACCTCATGGTTAGAGGATGCCCGGCTGTACTCCTGCTCCAACATGGTCATCATGCTGGTTGGGAATAAGAGGTAAAATTTTATTTGTGTGAATATAGGTGCCACGAGTCATTTGGTACTCTATGGACACCAAATCTCTTGATCCCCAAACTTTCTTAGTTTATAGTGCTCTTAGTATCTCAATAAATTTTTCTTGGCACCCATTGGCCAAAAGAAATATCTAACAATTTGGTTATTAAATAGTTAGATCTCAGTAACACAAGAAGTATTTTTGTCCTACCAATTTTGTAACTGAAAAATGAAAAACATAAAAGAAAAAATAATATTTTTATTTATAAAAGAAAAAATAATATTTTTATTTCATTGTTAAATAACCACGATTACTTACTAATGAGCTGTGTGTGTCTGTTGGGCACTGTGATCATTAAGGTTGTGTGTCAACTTGGCTGGGCCATGGTTCTCAATGGTTTGGCAGTTATGATGTAGTTTGGCAGCTGTATAATGATGTAATCACTTCCATGATAAGATCTGATATAATGTGATCACCTCCATGACGAGATCTACTGTGAGTAGCCAACCAGTTGAAAGGGAGTTTCCTTGAGGGTGTGGCCTGCATGCAATATAGGTGGACTTTCTGGCAAGGCTTGTGGGCTTTTTCTCACTCTGGATCCTGCAGCTGGCTCCTGTTCATCTGACCTTCACTTCTTGGGACTTGAGCTAACGGTTTACCTGCTGATCTTGGGATTTGTCAGCCTCCACAGCCTGTAAGCCAAGGCCTGTTGTCTAATCTGCCAATCTTGGGTTTGCCAGCCCTTGCAGCTATGTGAGTCAGGAGAAGCCTCCAGCCTGCCCATAGACTTGGGATTTTCCAGCCTCTACAACTGCATGAGCCATTTCCTTGATATAAATCTCTTTTTTTTTTCTCTCTCTCTCTATGTATGTATTTAGATATATAGATAAATAGATGCTTCACTGGTTTTGCTTCTCTAGAGAACCCAGCCTAAGACAGGCACTGCACAGCTTCTCAAATGAATCAAGATTTGGTGTGCTGATGTTGGGTATAGCTGGGGCTTGCCTAACCCCTTATAAACCTTTTTCTCTGTAATAGTAGTAAGGTAATAAGCTATTATTTTCAACCATGAAGCAGCTGTCATGAATCTGAAGAATATTTTCCAAGAGGCTACAGGAATCAGTAAACCTATACAAGAGAATGTCTATGTTTGTTTCTGTCACATTCTTAACTGATTAACTGGCAATTGAAACCATTATGGGATTCATTTAGAACTAGAATTTCCTCTTTCATTTGGATCTGTTTTTTAGTTTTCTCCCCAATTAATCTCTTGCAATGACCTAGAGTCCCACAGAGATGTGAAGAGAGAAGAAGCAGAGGCCTTTGCTCGGTAGCATGAACTTACATTATGGAGACCAAAACACCCTGCAATGTTGAAGAGGTACTCTTTGGAAAGAAGTGGAGAAAGGACTTCAGAGATTAAACCATTATCTTTGTTGTTTTATTCAGAATTCTCTTCGAAGAAATGAGTAAGGAAAGGATGTTGTAGGATTGTAGTGACCAGATAGCTTCCTTTAAGGGAATTGCTCCATTTCTTTTAACCCTGATTCCTAGGTTTTGCTTTGAGTAGTGTTAATTGGTAAGTGTGGATTTGATATCTCTATTAGTTGTAAATCAGTTTAGTTGGAGGGTCTAATGGGTTCTTCTGTAGCATTCCTAGGCCTGGTGTTGACTGTATCTTCATCAGTAACTAATGAAGAAGAGAGCATGTTTGTTTCATCTGCAGAGAATGCCAACCTAGGAACCCTAGGGTCAGCACCAGAATACCATATGATTCCTTTTTTCTTTTTAAAAAAATACTATCAAGGGCTTTTATAGGGATATTTGGGGGGCTTTCTGTATTTTTACCCCCTTCTTTTCCTTATTCACCATAGAAATTCAAATAGAAATGATATTTATATTCTCTTTTCCTCATTTCCCTACAAAAACTTGAGCCTGATAGTATGACTTATGTTTCCTTTAGGCCTTCATTAATACAGCCAAAGAAATATATAGGAAGATCAAGCAAGGTTTATTTGATGTCCACAGTGAGGTAAGAAAGGAGGCAGTTAACTTTCTGCATTCTGAACAAAACTAGAAGTTCACTAGAATGTAAACATTCCGTACCTAACATCATACTATTTGAAGCTATGGCAATTCAAACTTCACTTTTTATATATACATATATATATATATATATATATATAGGTACACAGAAACTTGTTGTCACTTTCTGATTTTTCTCAAGTCTGAGACTCAGAATGTGTAAAGAGATATTAGTTGATAATCTAAAAGTCTTATACAATGTGGAGGGTCTTCTTGACTTTAGTTTCTTATTCTAGAGCATGGGGTGCGGTATAATTCTTATTTGCGCAGCAGGACCATTTCTATAAAGCAAATTCTGGGAAAAAACTAAAAAGAACCACATGATACTATGTTGCTTCTACTCTTTTGCCTCCTCCTACACTTCTTACCTAATCACTCTTTAATTCTGCACATAGCTATGAATCTTAAAAAGCCGCTTCTAACATGAATGAACCTTGAAAACATTATGCTAAGTGAGATAAGTCAGTCACAAAAGGACAAATATTATATGATCCCATTTAAATGAAGAATCTAGAATAGGCAAGTATAGAGAGATCAAAGTGTATTAGTAGTTTCCAGGGGTGGGCGGCAGAGAGGGTGAAAGGAAGACAAGATGCTTAGGAGACACTGAGCTTCTGCTAAAGGTGATGGACAAATTCGAGAATGGTGATAGTTGAAAAACATGATGAACATATTTAACGTCACTGAAATGTACATGTGAAGATTGCTGAAATTGCAGATGTTTTGTTACATGTATATTTACTGCAATTAAAAAAGTAAACAAACAAAAAAGTCACTCACTTCTAGTCAACCATGAAACTTATAACACAGCCTGTTATTTTATCCTTAAGATCACAGAGTATTGTTCCACACCCATCTGGTTAGGGTACATGGTTACCTGCTAAGGTCATGTCTGCTTTAAAAAACGTAATTCATTATGTCTCCTTTTATCCCCATCCTTTCTCCCATTCACTTTGGCACTGAGGTGCAAACTATGGCCTCTTTTCTCTTACAGGCAAATGGTGTCAAAATTGGGCCTCAGCAGCCTAATTCAGCATCAGTGGGACCCTGCGCCTCTCAGCAGAGCTCGTGACTTAGAATACGACTCTGGCTGTTGCTAATCATCTGGCCTGAACTCTTTTTTTCTTCCTGGAACAGTCTCAGATCAGCAGGCTTAAACGAAGAGGTCTTGCTTGCTTTGGCTGAGAGAATCTTCTCTCCAAAGTGTGATGTTTTGCCTTTTCATTCAAAGACCAGGGAAGAATTTGGGCTCTTACTTACTGACCTGTCCTTCTTCAGGGACGTGAGCATTCCCTATAGATTAGGGCTTTTCTTATCCCCTATTTTAATTTCTAAAATGTTAGGATCAAAGCTAATTGCCACTGTAGTCCACAAATAAATTATTTTATAAGCATACACAATCTTCTCCCCAACAAGAATTAGTAACAAGGGTCAAGGATATTCTGCTTCATCACTTGAGAATGCTGGGATCTAGTGGCCTGTGGGTGATAGATCCTCTGCCTAGAAATTTCATTGAGTTTTTAACTTACTTGCCTTTAGGGGTCCGAGTGCCACTTCTTGAGAGTTCTTCCAGAAGGCATTTCCTTCTACCTGAACTGCTGAAAGATGCTGAGTACTTCTGTAGACCATCCCATTTCTAGTTTCTGTCCCTTAGAGTGACTACAAAACATTTGAGACAGTGAGATGGTTCTGGATCTATGAACACCTATCATTAACTGAAGAAAATATTCTTCCACTGCTTATTTTGTTTTAGGGACCAGACCTAACACCGTAGTGTCTTTCACCAAATAGACCCCCACAATTGCATCATACTCACTTACTAGACAATTTAGACTTTCTAGTCTAACCAAGCTAATCTTATTACTAGACATGACATATTTATTCCCACTTCCATGCCTTTGCATACACCTTACTCTCTGCTAACATTATACTCAAAGTCCGAAACTTTTTCCTTCAGGAAGCCTTCTGTGACTGACTTAGGGACTTCCAGCAATTATTGACATAGTACCCCTTAGCCCCTTAGCTTTTTCGTGCCATTTATATTTATTTGTATTAATGCTGTTTTGTAAATATGTTTTATAGTTGTTTTATGTGTAGGATCTGTCTCCCTATATAGTTTGTAAGCTCCTGTCATCCTTTGAATTTTGTAAAACCTCCCTTCCCCCCACCATTCCTTCCCAGTGCCCAGTGCTATACTCATTATGTGATCATTGAATTTGACTGACTGACTTAAAGACTTAGAACAAGTTTATTTTATATTTCAGAGGAAACAAAAGGCCTTAGAGTCATCCCTTTGATAGCTCTGTTTCAATCTCTTCCATCTGCTTACCCTAGGTCATATATTTCTCTTTTCCTTCTTCTCTTCCACTCTTCCTATGATCTCTGCCTCCATTTCATGCAGCATACATTAAGGCTGCCTGTTTCCAAGCAGTTCAACATAAGTGGATACTTACCCAGCCATTCTCCTTTTCAAGAGCATGTAATACTATCCTACCCAAATTTGTTTTTTCTTCACTCCTCACGTGGCCTTCTGGGTCAGTTGTTTATCTTCTTGCCTTGATTTCTCATTCTGTCCCACAACGCTGAGGTCTCATGAATTTTTCTAACATTTTTGTTGTTAATGAATTTTTTCATTACTAAATGTATACATGTATCCATGCTGCTGATATATATGTGTCATTTCTTTCTTTTAACAGTTTTTTTTTTTAATTGTGCTTTAGGTGAAAGTTTACAGCTCAAGTTAACTTCTCATACAAAAATCTATAGACATATTGTTATGTGACATTGGTCGCAATCCCTATAACGTGACAGCACACTTCCCCTTTCCACTCTGGGTTTCTTGTGTCCATTCAACCAGTTCCTGTCCCTTCCTGCCTTCTCATAACCAGTTTCTGTTCCTTCCTGCCTTCTCATTTTGCGTCTGGACAGGAGCCAGCCATTTGGTCTCGTGTATCTGCTTGAACTAAGAAGCACACTCTACATGAGTATTATTTTATGTTTTATAGTCCAGTCTAATCTTTGTCTGAAGAGTGGGCTTTAGGAATGGTTTTAGTTCTGGGTTAACAGAGCTTCCGCAGGTCATGGCTTTAAGGGTTCCTCCAGTCTGTCAGACCATTAAGTCTAATCTTTTTACATGAATTTGAGTTCTGTACTTTTTTCCTGCTCCATCAGGGACTGTCTGTTGTGTTCTCTGTCAGGGCGGTCATTGATGGTAGCCAGGCACCATCTAGTTCTTCCGGTCTCATGTTGATTAAGTCTCTGGTTTATGTGGCCCTTTTGTCTCTTGGGCTAATATTTTCCTTGTGTCTTTGGTGTTCTTCATTCTCCTTTGCTTCAGGTGGGTTGGGACCAATTGATGCATCTTAGATGGCCCTTTACAAGCTTTTAAGACCCCAGATGCCACTCACCAAAGTGGGATTCAGAATGTTTTCTTAATAAACTTTGTTATGCCAATCGACCTAGATGTCCCCTGAAACCATGGTCCCCAGACCCCAGCTCCAGATACTCTGTCCCTCAATGTATGTGTCATTTCTTATTGTATCCCCAAATAAGTAAATAATCTCTTCTTAGGGAATTTTATCAAAGTTATTGGGAGAAGCTTCCTTCTAACTTCCACATCCAGTTTTATTATCCAAACCAACTTATAACCTTCCATCCCTGAGTATTTCATCAATTGTAAGGGAAGCATGAGAAACAGAAGCATCTGAAGCAATTTCATGGCCTGTGTTGATCATTGCTGATGTTGAGTGAAGTGGTCTTTGAAAAATATCATAAAAAGTGAATCTCCCACCCCCATGTGAAGAATGGTAATTATGAGATAATCTGGGTGTTGGTTTTTGAAGGCCAGCATCATTGGAAATCACACGAAACCCACCAAAAACCGAACTCACTGCCGTTGAGTCGATTCAGACTTATAGTGACCCCATAACGTTTCCAAGGCTGTAAATCTCTGTGGGAGGAGACTGCCACATCTTTCTCCCACGGAGCAGCTAGTGGTTTTGCACTGCCAACCTTTCAGTTAGCAGTTGATCACTTTAACCACTGAGCCACCAGGAAATCATACTAGTTACAGGAAAAGATCATTGCAAGTAGCTGAAATTATCAGACCAGGCACATTCCCTATCTATAATGCCCACAACTAGTTCCTTTGATGGCATGTCCATTTTGTACCAAATAATATGAGAAGGATAACAGGGTCACATTCTAGAGACTACTAATAATTAAGATCATATCTATATATTCATTACAAACACACTACGGTAAATCCTAATACTGAACTCAAATTTGGTATAATCACAACATTAGACAGGAGAGAATTTGGCCAACAAATTTTGCTCAGTATACAGGAATATATATTTGGTCAACTCTTATCACCTCTCTGATAAAAGATTGAATCATATGACACTGTAAGTTTTCTAAGCTCCTACCATGTATGACCATGCGATTGTGTTCTTCTTTGAGAAAATCCTTTTAATGATCTCGAAGGATTCCCTTCACTCACAGGTTTAAAAAAAAGACTTCTTGTAGTAAGTTGTAATAAGATTTAGACTGGGAAATACAGGAAAACTTGTCTCACTCAGTGCAAGAAAATTTCACTAACAATGAAATCATTTACTCTACGATTTAAAAGCAATCAGTAGAAAATTTCTTCCTCCAACCAATGTTTCTATGGCTGGGCTGCCCACAAAGGACCTCCTTCTCTTTACATACGATTTCTCATTATATGTATTCGCAGATAGTTCTGATCTATTGATGAATTTGAGGCCATTTTTCTTTTTTTTTAATTGAAAAATTTCCCTGCTATTTGTTTCCAGCTGATTCACAACCCTCTGTGCTGTCAAAGTTCGAAAACTGGAACTGTCAAGTCAGAACACTGGAAATTTTGCAAGAGTAGCATAGGATTTAGAAGCCGCTAGAATAGATCATAACCTATGTTGGCTATGTGCTGATGTCCTGAGGAGTGAGGTGTCTATAAAGGATTATTTTAGGAACTGGGAGCACCTGTCTTATTTGAAGAACTAATTTTTGCTTTCATTTGGTAAAATCGCTTCACTCGCAGTTAAGTGAGAGGGTGATGCGGTTGTTTCTAACCATACTCAGCATTACAGACTCTCTTTCCCATAATGATTAAGGGACATCCTAATTATATAAAGGAGAGTATGTCGGGGCTGGACTCAAGTAGTCGGGCAACACGTAGAAAATGACTTCATATTCTTTAAACACTGCTTCCCTCTCCCCGCCCCCAAAGCTCCAGCCCGATCCAAGATGGCTTCCTAGACACAGGTAACTAAGTGTTTTAGTTTAGAGCGCCCCCAATGGCCGGGGAGGAAAAAAGATGCCGAAAGGCCTGAACGCCTGTGAACTGAGCCATCAGAGAGCTGCCGCCAGATTTTTATTTTCAATCAGGCATATCTGTGGTTGCCTACGTACCCTTCCCAGCCTTTTAGGACCGCCCACTCTCAAGAGACTTCCGGGATGGCGCTCATACTACCATGCTGGAAGAAGACTGGCTTCGGCCTTGCCATTGGTGGCTGGGAGTGCAGGTGGGCGGAGCCGAGGGAGAATGGACTACTAGCAAGCCCGGTTGAGACGAGAGCTGGCCATGCTCCGCCGGAAAGCGCCTTGTTCTCTGAAAGGGTGAGTTGAAACAGGGCTGGAATAGAAGCACCAGGAGTTGTTCAGGTAGGCTTCCCGCTCACGTCGACTTCTCAATGCTGGTCCAGGAATCCTAGCGAAAGCTAAAGCTCTTAGAATTAATTTCAATAACTCATTATCCTTCTTCCGCCCCCGCCCCCCGCCCGTCCCCTAGTTGTGAGGGATCAGGTGCTGGGTGATGCTCTGGACTGAACCATTCTTCTTTGTGAGAGGCCGGGGGAGAGGGTCCCTGCGGAGCCGTGGGGCCCGAGTCGGGCCAAGCCGTGAGGGGCCTGCCCGGGCCGCTGTGGCTTTTTTAGGGCTTGTCATTGCATTACTGGGCGTGGTATAGATTTAAGGCAGCTCCATGTTCTCCTTTCTCCTTCAGGGGAGGGTAAACTCCCCGACTCTGGTTACTCCATACTTTGAACTCAGAAGTGGGAGGTTAGATTTTTTCTCCCCCACT